ACAGGTTTGGTTGATCTACGTTGCAACAGAGGATGCCCAAACTGACATTGTGTACAAGGTCGGCAATCCACATTGATTCGTTGTGATTGCGTTTACTGGTTGTCCATCTGATGATGAAGAGTTCATCATGATGCAAGACTGGACTTTCTTCTTTAATGACTCTTAGTGCCTGAATGAGGACGACAACGTCAGAGTGGAGCAGCGTAAGATCAACAAAGCAGCATCTGATAAAGTTCTGCATGAATGCCGTGATGCCAAATCCAGTGTTTGGAGTGATATGCAAAACGATGAGGGTTGGTCGTTGAGCATGCCAGCTCCTGGCAAGACTGGTGTCGCTGGTGTCTCTAGTTTTCCAAAGTCGCAGAAGGATAGGACCGCCAATGCTACACCAAAGCCAAAGGCAAAATCCAAAGGAAAGTGCAAACATCCAACTGTTTTCTGACAATAATAGAATCCCTTTTGCATGTGCTTGTCATTGTCTTAGTTGTTGTTGTTGTTGGCAGAATGCTATTGAACTAGTGTCTTTTGTTGTCAATTCAGGTTCATGCGATGAAGCTGAGAACATCATCTTTGAAACGATTCAACGATGCGAAGGATGCGTTGGACAAATCACAATCTATGTATGAATCCGCAATGGCAGAAGCCCAGCAAATCAAGGACAAGGATGAAGCCGCTGGTTTGCCAATATCATTGAACTTTGATCCAACGTACCTTTTCTGCAATGCAGTTGCCTAATGGTCCAGCTTGAGTCATCATTGTTTTCTCAATCTTCTGATAGACTTTGATGTTTGGGTGTTTGCTGGGTAGGTATCAGATCATCTTGAAGCGCCATCTCATCCTTGGCGCTGCCAGGCAGGCAATCAAAGTCTTGCACTGAAACCGCAACTGAAGGCAGTCTAAGTTTAAGCCAGCTACATTGAACTACTATTCAGTTTTCCTCTTGCAGGAGTTCAACGGAAGATCGAGATGGAATGGCTTCCAAGGCCCTGGAAGACCTTTTGAAGCAGGACCCCTTCTTTGAAGAACTGCTCAATGATCATGACGCTTCAGTCATGACGCTTGGGCGGCTCAACTACGTTCGAGACATCCTCCTTGATCTCCAACCTTCAGTGGACAAAGTTGATGAAATGATCACCATGCACAACAGTGCTGTGTCATTGCTTAGCCAAATTGCGAACGCATTGCGCAGTGATGTTGACAATTGGAAAGCTGGTATGAAGGCAACAGCCAAGGCAAAGGAAGAAGAGCGTAAAGCCAAAGAGAGAGAACAAGCAAGACTTGAAAAGAAAAGAAAGGCTGAAGAACTGAAACAGAAAAAGAAAAGAGATAAAGAGCTAGAAAAGCAGCAAAAAGATGCACAAGCAGCAGCATCAGCAGAAGACACAACGCAAGTGCCAGACGGCCCAGAGCAAGACCAAGACAAGAGGAGACGTCGTACTAGGACCAATGTCCTAGAGTTGGATCAAGATACAGACCTACCAATCATCTTCAACGCTCGTCGCTTTGGGCCTGAGTATGAAGTTGGGGTGTTTGATGAACTTGCCAACTTTGCAACCGCCATTTGGAACCATTCAACAGTCTCCAAGATTTGCCGCCTCAAGAAGAAGGGCTCAATCAAACATGTCTTGAAGATGATACCACCACGGCTCCTTGATTCACAACAGGTGGCTTCGCTTGCAAAATCGATTCTTGATGCGGTAACAGACAATGCCACCAAGTTTGATGAGCTCTTGAACTCATCTGCAGCAGCCGCAGGCCGTGACCGCACCACCAAACAGCTGGACTTGGCTGGGACATCACCATACTTGGGATTTGACCGTCTTATCCAAGAAGCATCTGAGAATGCGTTGACTGAAGGCAGCACTGGATCTTCAGCGATCTTGCTTGACCGAGAAGACTTGATGGCGAGGAAGCTTGGTTTCTTTTGAGTAAAATGTTACATGCACAGTGCGCAGTAGCATAGCTTTTGTGCACCACCAAAAAAATGTGACATGGGTTAGGGTGATTAAGGCACCAAGCAGCTGTTGGACTCAAACAATAGTGGTTCTTGCTTACCAATCAAGTCAGGATGAAGACCTTCGATGGTTGTGGAGATGCAGACTTGGAGAAAATGTGTAATGGTCACGTGCAAATGCACGCTAAAGGTGCCACGTTTCAAGGGCTCTATCCATCTTCTATGGGCTCTATCTTCTACAACTGCCAAGGCAACAGAGTGTTCGCTACAATGCGGATCACAGAAGCATACACTGCTACTGGCTTGGATACCTTTCAAGGTGTTGTTACACGTGTGTCCAGAATGGAGTCTGGGGAGGAGCTCGAGATCCCAAGCCTGCGCAATGGCTACTTGAGTGCTGGTGACATCCTCTTCATTCCTCCAGGGCACCTTTGCTTTGAACGAGCTGTCAACGGGCACAACGTTGGATGTCGCGTCCTTTGCCCCGTGTTTGACAAATCTGCATTAGATGACCTGCGCATGGTGAATGCGACCTTTCCCAGGAAACTTGAACTCGTTCAGCCGGTATTCATTTTATGTTTTTCTTTCGGTTGTAGATGCACTTTAGCACACTTTTTGGAGTTCAGTGCACTACCAAAACTTGGCAAGTGTTAAGGAACATCATCACACTGGCAGTTCTACAAGCACTTGAGGAGGCAGCTGCAAAGCGTGTCCCAACACAACTAGCTTTGATGGCTCCGGCACCAAGTACATCAGCAGCACATGGAACAGCAGCAGACCCGTTTCTGGAAGTAAAAAATGAAGATGACGATGAAGATGAATTCCTGAAAGACCCTGTCTATGCTGTGGTGACACCAGAACTTCATCCATGGGTTCATCCAAACAAAGACAGCCGCAGGCTTGAGATGACGCCAGAGCAGTTCGAGTGTGCGCTGGAAGTATGCAAGCTACATCCAAAGCTCCCAGATTACATCCGACACTGTCATCAGAACCTCGGAGTGGATGATGATTACGAGTTCGGTCATGAAGATGGAGATCAGGAGGCAGATGTCGCAGACTTTGTTTCATTTCTGGTGACAACATATCATATGATGATGAAGGATGACATCGATGCAGCTGCAAAGTCACTTCAGCCACCAATCACCTCAGCAGCAGCAAAGGCAGCACATGCTGAGCCAAAGGCAGCAGAGGAAGACCATCCTGAGCAAGCAGCAATGCAACCAGAGGCAGCACCAACACACCAGCACAGCGTTCCATCCACTGTGCTCAAAACAGATGCCACACCAGCTGCAGCAGCAAAACAAACAGACCAGCCAGCAGATGTTGTCATGCAGCAGAAGCAAACAGAAGC